AAATGGAGGCTACAAATCATATTATGTGATTTGAGTTTCTTAATAAATAAATATTTTCCATCATCTTCTTTAACATTTCCTTTAATTTTCCTACAGTTGGGGTGGACCAAAAACCAATCAATAATTGGGATCTCCATTTGACAACATTGGTTGTTGATTTTTTGGATGCTCAAGCTAACAATTATTCCAGAGAGCAATTTAATGTCAAGTGTGAGCTAAGTATTTAGCTAGTAATCGAATTGAAATTTGAAAAATTCGAGAGGATTTTATATTGTGGGATGTCCTGATGAAATTTAGCATGGTTCTATAGACCAAAAGGATCATAAAAAATCATTAAAAGGATAAAAATGGGTTTAATGCATCAAACCTCCCTGTATTATACTAAATCTGCGTGTTTTCCCCCTCTAATTCAAAAATTGCGTCAGACCCTCTTGTAATGTAGTTTTGCATGCGCGAAGCACCCTAAACCGTCTAAGATGACGGGAGTGATGTGCACGCACGTGTTGTGCGACTTTTTCTTCATCTTTTCACCCAAAAGTCGTGGAATTTATATTTTTACCCTTAAAATCAGCCATTTAAATGCCTTCTTCCCCACATTTCACCCTAATCTCGCGCAGCGACTCCCTTCCTTTCTTCATTTCAACTACTTTTTTTTTTTATACTTGTACTTGGCAAGCAGAACAAGAAACTCCAAGTGGCTCACTTTACCTCGAGAGACTTTTCAGCAATCGGGCATAGAATGCATCATTTTCTGCTTCCTGTGATCACTTGTTTCGGTAATTGCCTTTGCAAAGACCTCGACAATCCTCTACTGCGACTCGAGGGTCATTTCGGTCCTCTTGAGCTCCATCTCCATCCTAATTCTTCAATTTGCCTCCTCATATCCATTTTCACCTTCTCCATTCTCATAAACCCCTCTCCCAAGGAGTGAATTGCCGCCACCGCCACCTCACTGCCACTACCACCATCCATTTTCTTTCCATTCATTTTCTTTCTCTTCACGCTCTCGTCGGCCCTTTTCCCAATTTCATTCCTTCCCAAAAGCCGATCTCTGAAAACCGTGTTTGGGTCAGGCCCATATGAAGTGTCGTACACAGAATCAGGGTTAAGGTTCCGTGTGGGTATTTCATCAGATATGTTGTAGGCCTTGGCGGTGGGTGGCATCCCACCCGGGATCTTGATCCGGACCCCGGCTGCTGCCCCATGATCCAGCGGCTGTGAATAGCCCTTTTGTTTCTGGCCGTGATTATACAAATCGTTGATGCGCTTGATGCTGTTTTTGCGTCTGTCATCATCCTCGTCTTCCTCGCCATCTGAGGATGAGGAGGACGGATCGCCACCGAATCCCTTCTCCATGGCGTCTATCCCCTGGAAGTGGGCCCACGACGAGGCATACAGGCGGACACCGCCGCGCGCGGCAGCCCGCTAGATCTCAAGCGGTACCGCTTGCGGAGCTTCTCCATCTTGTGGCGGCACTGGACGGCAGACTTCGGGGGCGTGCCGGGGCAGCACAGCAGAGGTTGCTGCGCCGGAGGGAGTACCAGTGGTTGGCGAAGAGGTTGCTGCGCCGGAGGGAGTACCACTTGTCCCTGTAGGCGTCAATAAGGGTCGTCGTCTCGTTAGGCGACCAACACATGTACAGGGGAAGGAGGCGGCGGGCGGCAGTGGCGACAACGGCGGTCGCGGCAGGGAGGGCTAGGGCGGTGGGGATGTGGCGGTCGTCGTCACCGTGAGGGGAGGATGAGGACGGGGACAAGGTCGTGGCGGCCATGGCTGTTTCTGCAATCGACGATCTGGTGAATAATTGGAGGATGAGAGAGAAAGTGGGGAGGGGGCGGCGGAGGGTTGTGGTGTGAATGAGGGGAGATCTGATTTTTTGTTGAATGTGGGAAGAATTTAGTGAGTCGATCACGAAGAGAGAGATTATGTTTATGATTGATATTTTAGTTTCACTTGTAAAATATAATAAAGGAGGGCATAACGGGAAGTTTACAAAAAAAATTAACGGGGTTAACACTCAAATGTAATTTGGGGAGCGTCAGCTCGTCAACTCTTAATAGAAGGGGGTCTGACGCAATTTTTGAATTAGAGAGGGGAAATGCGCAGATTTAGTATAATACAGGGGGATTTGGTGCATTAAACCCGGATAAAAACACATGAAAAATGAAAGCATTTGGGAAATTGCAGAAAATAACAAACACAAGAAAACATTAAAAGTGGAACAATCAATTTCTAGCGTGTGGCGACCAAATTCCCCATGGATCCACAAGCAATCTCATAGTGTTTGGCCTCAGAAAAGCCTGCTTCCAAAGCTAACTTCTCCAACTCTTTCCCTGCATTATTAGAACCACAATTAAACAATTTGTTTCTTTTGGTTTTATTTCAGCTATATATGACATATAATGTTCATTGACCAACTGCACCAAACCTGTGAGGTACTCCTTGATTGAATTCTTCAAGTATCTGTACTTGCTTGCAAGCCCATACCAAGTCGCCACTGGAACCACTACATAGTCGATCATCCAATCCTGGCATTAATTAAAATACAATTTGAGTTATAGATATATACTAATACTTGTATACAATTATTAAAGCCTATATATAAAGCTTGTGAAACCAAGCCCAACCAATGTTATGTTTTGGTAAAACTAGGTGATAAGTTAGCTGATAAGCTAACTTATAGCTTATAACTGATTTTCAAGCTTATAGCTTATAGTTTATGACTTATAGCTGAAAATTTAGTTTATATAGTAAATGTGTTTGGTAAAATTAGCTGAGAAGCTAACTGAAATAAAAATTTCAATGAGCTTACCCAAAGAAGCTTATGAAATAAGCTCGAACTTTTTAAAAAAACTCGCCCTACCAAACGAAGCTTATTTGAATACAAGAAGTTTATAAGCTAACAAAATAAGGTATAAGTTAATCTATTTAACTACCAAACATAGCCCAAGTACCTGGATTTTAGAGGTCAGTCGATTAGTGCTTTTGTTGAAGTCAAGAACGGATAACTTGGCACCGGATTTCAAAACCCGAACCATCTCCTCAAGAGCCTTTTTCCTATCCACCACATTTCTCAACCCATAGCTAATTGTGGCAGCATCAAAACTGGAGTCGGGGAATGGTAAAGCAACGGCATCTCCATGAATCCACCTACAAATTCACAATTTTGATCAAATCCAAAGGATACTAGTTACATAATTACTATACAAAGAAAAATTCAGTGGCAAATAAGATCATTTTGAATAGCTTACTCGATGTTTTTGTAGCACGGTTTAGACTTGGACCACTCACGCTGGCGAGATGCCGCAATATCTAATAGCTCCTTTGAGAAATCTAGAGCAGTGACCTACAAAGAAAAAAAAAAGTTTGAAAAAAAAAAAAAGAAGAATACTAATTAAACGTCAAATTATGTAAGCCGTCGAACCTTGCCATTGATTCCGACTTTGAGGGACAAAAGAAAACTCAAATCCCCACTGCCACAACACACGTCCAACACCTTGTCTCCTTCTTTTGCCCTGTTTTTCGGCTTATTTTTTGACATGCGAACTACCTTTCGAGAATTCTACTCCAAACCTTCAAATAGTTCATAATTTTAAAATTGAATTGTCTTCTGATCCTCACATACTCCACTCCTCCCCAAATCTATTGTTA